CATCGTTGTTGCTGCGGTTTGAGCTTTATGTGATGCTCTCACAGCCAGGTAGATGGAGCTGACCTCGATCAAACTACCCCTCCCACTGCTGACCTCCCACCCTGGACCCCTGAAACCCCTCCTACTCCCGCTGAGCTGGATGCGCGTCTGGCTCAGTATGAACGGAGAACAGAGGAAGAGGAGGAGGAGGACGGGGAGAGAATCCCAGATCTTCAAAAGGATGACATGATGGCGAGGAGGACAGGAGTTTTCCATAAACAAAGCACTGCCACAGTGACTTACAACCGTTTCCTGCCTCTGCCCGCCACCAAACGATGCACACCAGGGGAGGTCACCACTGACGCTGCTCCGTGGAGCAAAAGGGAAGTGCAGGCAGAGAGGAGCAAGATACAGAACGTCAGGTGGGCTGAGATTTGTGTGGAACTGTCTTAACACTATGAGGACGGACTAATACGCTCGGTGTGATTTGCATCCTCAAAGAAATCCTTCAGCTTGGTGTTTAGTCATTTTGAATTACAGGACTTTCTCTCATAGAGTGGAGCAACAGCAACCCAGAGTTTCCATGGAAACGCCTCAACCACACCCCGCCACGACCGCGGTCCGAGCAATGTCTCACAGCGAGCGCGAATATGACGAGGATGAGGAGGAGTATGACGAAAACGAGCCCGTGCCTGACCTGGAGAAGGATGATATGATGGCTCGAAGGACCGGATCATTCCACAAACCGAGTGCGGTCAAAACAAATCAGTCCATCAACCAGTTCCTGCCGGTACCTGGGTCAGTTAAATATACCGTCGCCCCAGTGTCTCCAATGAAGCCGCTGCACAGCAGACCTAAACTCACAGAGAAGACGGCTAGTGAAAGGTATTTTACTGTGTTTGAGGTTGTGGTGTTGGTCAACTACTGCAACTAACAAAGCATATTTTACTGGCGAAGATGAAGGTTTAATTACGTTGACAACAAGTTATATTGCCCGCGGTACTAACATTAAAAACTGTGAATGATTTATAGTTTAAATTGCCTGGGTTGTTGTTTTGGTTCTAGCATGTGTGAGTGCCTGCAGCTGGATGCCTGATGTGGTTTCGTTTGTATTACTTGTATATTAAAAGGACTCGGCGACTTTGATTTGCTGTTGTGGTTGAATTCTTGGTTCTCATATGACTTGGCAAAGTTTGTGCTTGGTTTGGAGTTATCTGGCCCTTTTTTCTTGTTGCTGTTGAGGTTTAACTTTTGTTTAGTTTGGCATGACGTTGGTTGTCCGGTTTCACAGAGAATGGAGCATTTGGCTGTTATCTTTGTATTTAAAATGTAAATTACTGCTGAATCACTGAGGAGCAAAACAGCTGCTGCTCTACTCTCTCGCATTTGAAATTCCTGAGTAAGTTTGCCCAAATAACTTAATAATATAATAATAATAATGATAAATAAAAACAAAAAAAAGCTTTTATTTAATGTACAATCATTTCCTTAAGTTTTGATACAAATTATAGGTATAATAAAATTAACTGTATGTTTTTCTGAAGACAAATTCAACATTTTTGGATGTTCAGTTCATGTGCTATGTACTTATTACCAAATTACACTGTTCTTTCCAAGAAACTTCCAAGGAAATTTGTAGGAAATCACGGATCAAAATAAATGGGCATACCTCCAGTTAGTAGTATCAAGCCAAAACTTTATAAACCTTTGAACTTTATAAATGTCATTTTTCAACGTTTTGAGCACCACAAATAAAATTCTCTTCACCTCCACTGTATTGGGTGGAAGCACAAATCATAGAGACATTGCTGATATCTCACAACCTCAGCAGTTAAAACCTCAACTATCTGCATGACTAGATACCATCAGATGTAAGTAAGAAAATATATTTTTTGTTATTTGGGTGATCTGACTCTTTCTGTTTCTGGCTCCCCACTAATATATTTGTGATAGAAACCACTAGTGTTCAGAAGTGCAACATGGTTCGAGGTTGCAGCAAACCGAGAGCAGATCAGCTGCTGTCTTTTGTTCTCTGTGATTCAGTCTGTATTTCTCTGGTAATCTTGGCTTTGTTACTGAATTTTAGCAGCAGTGTTACCGTGGCAGCAGAACCTCAGACCCCGCTGTCCAAAGCCCCGACCCTCCCGAAGTGTGCAGGGCCGAGGGAGAGGCAGGAGGAGGATGGAAAGCAAGAGGGAGACATGAAAAAGCCTAACACCTCAGTCACAGATGTAACTGAGCCCCTCTCCTCTCCATCGCTCAGCCCTCCACCCAATCCTGCTGTTACTTGTAAAGTGGAGGCAGAGTTGGTGAAGCAGAGTGTGGAGGAAAGAGTTGAGGAAAAGGTGGAGGAGAGAAAGAGGGATGTGAATGAGGAACCACAAAAAAAACCCTTCTGGCTGGATGACGATCTGCCTCCCATGATGTGAGCCGCCCGCTGAACTCTTTCTGCATGTCTCAGCTTTATCTCTGCCATTCATCCAGCCCGCATTCATTTCTCTTAATATCGGAGAACGGGATTGAACGAGAGCCAAAAGATTACTGCCTATTGTTTGTTTTTGCTACAATGATGACAAGTTCCTAAGTAGAGCTTCCCGAACGAAGCCTGACAATAACACCCTGCTACCCATTCCCTCACTAGTCTTTCCTCTCATTCACTTTATTCTGTTATTGTTTTAGGATGAGCCGGCGAGTTGCTTTTATGTCTGAGGACGCTGAGTAAGTCTTTCGACGTGAACCTGGATGAGCTTATGCATGATAACAATACTTACATGCTGTGCACGTTTGATTTCAAGAGTAAAGTTCAGAAATATATACACCACATTATTCTCATTTCTGTCATTATCACATCTTTACTAACGTCAAGGTTTTGCTTTTCTTTAAAGTTACTTTTAATGTGATTCTGATTTGCACTTTTTTAATTAAAAACAGTTACATGTAACCATCGAAGTACACACACTAATAATAACTACTCAACTAACACACTATTATTAAGTTTCATTAATGTGTTTTGCTTGCCAAAATAAATTAGTTATGTTTGTTCAGTTGCTTGTTTATTTGCTCTGTGATTAGTTTAGTGTGGTTAATTAGTGTGTTAGGTGTGGGACATCACATACACAACTACTATAAATCCACTATATACAGGAAAAATAATGATGATGATGTAATATTTACATTTAGTGGACTTTTACTGGTTGTGTATATGTATGTCTTACGTTGTGATCATATCTTGTAGAAATAGGTTGCAATTGCTGGCAGACCATTTTTGTTTATGTCATTTACACATTTTGTAAAAGCGGGGAAGGTTTTTCTTCCTCCTTGTTCTTTTTGATCATCGAATGTGTATCACTTGTTTAGATTACAGTGTATATTTTTTAAATTCTGTGTTTGAAATAGTCACTGAAGTGACTGACGTAAACACTGAATGGCTTAAAATGAAATATTTGCTGTTTTCTAGAACCAAGTTGGACAAAGTGAATATGCTGGGTCAAGTGATTCAGTAACTTATCCAAGATTATATTGTCTTTTTCCTCTATAGGAGTGTGAGCATGAGTGACATTCTCAATGAGGAAGAGGTGGGACACTTACCACCACTGAGCCAATCACGACATGAGCGCATGCATGAACAGTACAACAGCTTTCTGGAAGATGAGGACCACTGGCAAGACGTAAGAGACTAATTTCAGTAGAGTAAGAGGGCGTGTAGTGTCTATTTAAATAAAAGAAGACCTATATTATACTGTATATATTATATATACCTGTGAACCTGTGACAGGACCTGGCTCGCTGGAAGAATCGGCGTCGCAGTGCGTCACAAGAACTGATCAAGAAAGAGGAAGAGAGGAAGAGGATGGAGAAAAGGATGAAGGAGGAGAGAAGTGAGGCCAGCAAAAGGAAAAGCATCAAGACCTACAAAGAGATCGTGGAGGAGAAGTAAGAATGATATTGAGCCCTTGATCTCTCAGACAGAATGTACAATAAGTAGCATACAATATCAAAAACAATACCTAGACATCAAATGCTTTAACTTTCTTTTCTTTTCTAGGGAGCGCAGAGAAGCAGAGTTGTGTAAAGCGTACAGGAATGCAGCGACTCCAGAGGAAGCCGCCATGGTTTTACAGCGTTACGCTCTTCGCTTTACAATCAGTGACGCAACACTGGACAGCCTAAAACTGCCCAGATCCACTTCAAAACCCAAACAGGAACCAAATCAGGTAGACAAAGAGCACGAAACGACATCACCTATCAATGACTCTATAACATCAGAACCTCCGCACAAACCAGAACCAACTGTTATAACGGACCAGGTGCTGAAACCTGAGGAGGTGGAGACAGAGACAACTGCTCAACAGGAGACGTCACTTCCAGTTTCCTCCGGCTCCCCCACACCTGGAAGTCCCCTGACCCCGGTCACAGACTCAGAAAATGTGCCACCTCAGTCTCTACACCTTCATGAACCTCAGTCCAAACCGACAGAGTCTCCAACCGCACAACAGAAAGCACCGATTCCTGAAGATGCAAAGCCTCAAACCAAACCGCCTCAGGTTGTGCAGCCTCACACCCCCCAGCCTGTACACACACTCCCCTCCCCTTCACCTGTATCACCCAGACCCGTCCCCCTGCTGGCAGCCAAGCCCTACTGCCAGCCGAGGACCACACAGTCTGGACACAAACCTGTCAAGGTGAGTTCTCCCAGGTCACTCGGTCGTACCAGTCGGCACCATCTGATACTTCTGATACTATATTTAGGAAGTTAAACATTTTAACTTCTCACTCAGTGATACGGATGCTGCTTTTTGTTCTCTGCATGCAGTTTGAAGGTGTGTTGGATAATGTGTCCGTGGAAACAAGTATCAACTCCTCCAAAAAGGAGAAATACATCTTTGTGCTTCTCCAAACTGATTCAGATATTAATGTGTATCATTTCTCTGTTGACAAAGAAATCTTTCAAGACTAAACCTCTGGTAACAAAACAAAAACTCTCTTTACACATTGGATGAATTCAGATATGTTTAATTTTATACTTCCATACTAATTCTCAGATATTTGGATATTCTGCTTGCCGCTCACGCTCCCTCCCTTTATCTGTTTTTATTTTTTCATTTTATTTCATATGTTCTGTAATCAGTGTTGGTTTGCATTGTTTGCAATTTTGTGGATAAACAAATTCAAACTTTGCTCCTAAAAAAAAAGTGGGAGAACTTTGTATTCATTTTTAAAGATACTTATTAAGACAAATTTAATTAATCAAAATGTTTTTTGGTTAGAAGAGGTGCTTTGGTAGGAGCCACAACATCAACTCAACTAGGCAAGGCTATAGTTTTATCTTCAGACTGCCCTCAGACACACGAGAGTATATGAGTGTGTGTGACTCTCACTAAATGAGAAAAATATTCAAATCCAAACTCTCCCTCTGATCCTGATTTCTCTGCGTGTGTCCCTTCAGATGGACGGGTTGGTGCGAGTGAACGGAGAGGCGACGGAGGATTTATCTGTTTCCCCTCCGCCTACCTCTGCTCAGCACTCGCCACAGGAGATCAAAGACGTTCCCTCCAAACAGACGGAGAAAGATTTCCCCTCCGAGCAGGCTGCGAACAATCAGGAGTCGGAGCAGATGCCGCCTCCACAGATAGAAAAACCGACCGCGTCTTCTGGCTCTGTCATCAGCTCCCTGATTGGAGGCCGAAACTGTATCATCACAACAACTATTGTGACAGAGCTCACACAGACTCTTGTAGAGCCACATCAACCGGATGTCCAAAGCAATGGACAGGTAATATGACAAGTGACCATACCTGGGTTAATGTCGGTTAGTCCAGTTAATACAAAATAATGCATTACATTACTCCTGACCTTTTTCAAAAGGATAGCTTTGGTTTTTAGATGGTTTTGTATGAATGTTGTCAAGTATTTTCCAACCTTGTGCATTCAAGTGTTTATGGAAAGCCTTGACACCTGAGACACGAGCGTCAGCTGTTGATTCTAATCAGTCATGAGCTGTTTTGTGAGCCGTGGAAAATCAACCCAGGGGACAAACCGAAAGCAAACGTGGCTGCTCTTAAAAAAAAAGGATATTGTGAGTTTCGGTGCCTTAAAAAGTTGCAGTTCAGCAGCTGACTCCAGTCTTGAAAATACTTGACACCAACACAGAGGAATGTCTCCCCCAAGAAATCATTCTTTCCTCTTTATTGCCACAAAGTGAGAACACAAATCGAAATGAGAGAGAAGAGAATAGAGTATACTTTAATGTGCCCGTGGGGAAATTTATCTTCGACGCTGAACTGCAAAAGCAATAAACACAATGTACAGTTCAGACAAAGCGTACGAAAGACATTAAGAAAATAAAATAAAAAGTACATTCAGTGCAGCTCAGATGTTGCATTTTTACCTCCAAAAGAAGGTTTTATTGTGGGTTTAGTCTTCGTTGGGGAACTGAATGTCGTCTTAAAGAAGGTAGAAGCTGAACCTCTCAGTGGAGAAACATGACCTGAAACACTCTTCAGCTGTTCACAGCGATGGATGACCTATGTAAAACAAGTTTCCATTCTCTTCACGTTGATTTTAATATTGCATTTACATGACGACTGAAGCCAGCAACTGCCTGAAGAAAAAACACACTATTACCATATAATATGGTTTATTTTGGACAATAAACTCCAGTTTCCAATCCAATATTCTTCCTTCCACAATTTAAAGACAAACACACACAAATAAAAAGACTTTCAACATGAACCTGGATGAGCTTATATGAACAATATTTACATGCTGTGCACATAAGATAAGATTATTAATTTCCTATTGAGGAAAAAAAGTAATAAACTGGCTACAACATTCAAAAACACCAGCATGGTCCATTACTTTTTTAATAAACGTGTATATACAGATACAAAAGAATTACAGATCCAGTTTCCAGTTAATGTTTTACTCATTTAGTTGAATATTGTACTTTCAGGTCAATGGTACTGTGGGGTTATCTGAGAAACCAGTGGTGGAAACAAAGGCTCCGCCAGCTACATCGCCAAACAGCATGCAAGAATATTCTCCAACTGTCACAGGTAAAAACAAACAAACAAAAATGTGACTAAAAATAAATAAAGTTTTCAGCATCATGCTGATATTCTGTATAATTTCTTTTAGCAGATGTAAATTTGATGTGTGTGTGTTTCTGTCTCTGCCACAGAGGGGCTTGAGGAGAGCAGTGTGACTGTGAGTATCTCCAGGCAGCTCAACTCCAGCTTGTTTTTTTTCTGTTTCTCCTTCATTCCTAAATTTGACCCCGTCCTGACCCTTCGTCTCCAGTGGTCACTGTAGTCGCTGTAGTCAGACTTGTCCTCTCACCTTTCCTCTCTTTCTGTCCTTTATACATGTGTGTGTTCGTGTAAATGTTGGTCGGGTCTGGGTAGATTGAGACCCCCATGTTGAACTTGGCTAAACGTGTTAATCACTGGGTCTGGGACCCCAATGAGGAGCGTAAACGCCTGGAAAGTTGGCAACAAGAGCAGGAGCGCCTCCTACAGGTACACTGGTGGAATGGTGTTTATGTGCATGGCTCCATGAATGTGCTGGCACAGGATGTACTGGATGTGTGTGTGTTTATATATGTGTGTATATATATATGTGTGCTTTGTTCTGCAAACAGAGATTAACATGTGCAATGTTCCTCTGCAGGAGCAATACCAGAAAGAACAGGAGAAGCTGAAGAAGGAGTGGGAGAAGGCACAGCTAGAGGTGGAGGAGGAGGAGAGAAAGCACCATGAAGAGGTACAATCACACACACACAGATGAACACATGAAATCAAAAGCATTACTGGCCTATTTTGTATGTTTAATGTGTTTTATATTGTGTGTAAATCTTCCAGGAGCAAAGGATTCTAGAGGAGACGGTGACACCCCTCAATCCACAATACCAGCAGTCAGTCCAGACAGGGACAACTTCTTCAGCTCCAGAAAGCAACAGGACAGAAGCAGGAAATGTTCCCCTTCAGCAAAACGGCCAAAGAAGCTCCACAGGGAACGAGGATCAACATGCATCGAAGCTGCATTTCTTCCAGGGTAAGATGCACAGAAATACACACTGGTATTCAGGAGGTGTCCACAGCTCAGTTCAGACTTGTATTCCTCAGAGTTTCTGTGACAAAAGTTTTATTTTATGATCTATTTTTTGTAGACTCAGCATGTGATGGTGAACCTTCAAAAAAACAAGAGCTGTGGAAGACGTCCTCTCTGGACCGCAACCTTCAGCTAAACCAGTCAAATATCGTTAAAAGGTATGTTAAGGATGCTTTGAGTCTGTGTTAGTGTCTTTAGTTTCTCATATTGCTGCATTTTAATCCTGAATGAAGTTGCTCTTTCTGTTATTCTTCTTATTTCACATGATAAAATAATGTTCTGCTTGCTTGTTCGCTGATCAAATGCACTGAAAAATACACATTTTCTTTACTTCTCTTATGTATAAACAGCAACAATGTGACTTCACCGAGACATGTCTTTTTAACCATAGGTCTGAATCACATGATGCTGTAACAAGCAAAGAGCAGTCCTCCCCTTCAGGCCCTCAGCCTCCCTCACCCAGCAGGTAACGACGCTAGCACACAACATCCCCGTAATTAGGTAGCACTGTTTAATGGAGCGCAGAGGCTTTAATGTGGGAAGAGTAGAGCTTGTATCCGAATTGTTTTTCTCCTCCTCTTGTGTGTGTAGGTGTGTTAGTGGGAAGAGACTGTGCTCTGGTTGTTCTCAACCACTGGGAAAAGGAGCTGCTATGATCATCGACACACTGGGACTGTTTTTCCACATGCAGTGTTTCAAGGTACTTTTTATATTCTAGTACACGGCAGTATTTGGCTTCTGTATAAAGGTTTTTCAGATGTTTAATAAAGCACACATACTCCATCCCAATTATCTCCAAGGTAACAAAAAGAAAGACAGAAAGGTGGCTGATTTCAGGAGTAAAAAGCAAACACTTTATTTTCGATAATCCTCATCTTTAGTGTTTGTAAGACCTATTTAACCGTTTGATACTGAAACTATGTCAACTGTGTTTCTCTTCCTCAGTGTGGAGTGTGTAAGGGGCAGCTGGGTGACGCCACTGCAGGGACTGACGTACGGATTCGTAACGGACTGCTGAGCTGTCACGAGTGCTATATTGCATCTCGGGGTGAGAACAGATGCACACACAAAGATACACACAGAGACTGAGACGCTCCCTTAAACTGTCATTTACTTAAAAAAGACGATGGGTGCGCAAGATTTTAAAGTGTTAATGCTACTTTTAGGTCAAATACATCATTACTTCCACCACTGATCTTAATCCTCACCAATACATACTAACCCCGACCCTTTCTCTAATCTAAACATTACAAATATTTTAAACTGTCCTGACCTTAAAGTTCACCACATAAATACATATTTTTCCTCTTATCTGTTGTGATATTTATCCATCTAGAACAGTGTTTGTCAAATGAGGATCTGAGTACCTCTAGGGATGCTTTGGAGTACTGCAGGGGGTACTTGATATATAATTCCTAAAATAATTGTACCAGTCGCCTGCCTGTGACTGAGAATGATCCTCAGTGAAACACAATCACATATTTCTCACTGAATTGTAAGTGCAACTTATTAAAAAGACCATTCATTTAGTGACCTAAACATTTGAAATGTAGCATTTAAGTTTATCACACTGATGGAGCAGTGCTGTATTGTACCTCTATTTATAGGTGTTTTTAAATATTTCAAAGGGGGTAAATTAATGAAAAGGGTGTGACAACCACTCTTCTAGATTGTCTTAGCATGGACTTTTTTATTACAGGTTTAGAGATATTATCCAAACTTCTCTCGAATATATAAAGATAATCCTCAGACCTTGTGAACAGTTTCATGTAGGAACTATTTTTAACACATTTTCCTGTGTTTGTACGCAGGCAGAGGTCAGCCCACCACACTATGATGACCTCCATTTGAACTGGACACCCCCCCTCCACCGTCAGCGAGTGGGCGGAGACGAATCCTCGAACCTCGAATCCCGTCGTGGAATATATTCTTTTATATTCTGTTTTCCTGAAATGCACAAACAGCTTTATGGACGTTACTGAGAGTGAAACTGGACCGACGTGTGACACAACATCACGCGCACATACAGTACAGTGTGTGTGTGTGTGTGTGCGCTTCCTAACTGTACACATGTATACACTTCTTTTAATACGTGTAGCATGGATTTAATCAAGAAATCAGTGTGTTTAAGCCTTTGCACATCCATACATAGCACAGTAAAGACACTAAAACGAAGCCCTGCTCCATCACAACTTTAACATGTTCCACTAAAAGCTTAACACTACTGTCTTCAACACATCAAAAATCTTGATTCATCATCCTCCGCTTCTGCACCGATCATGTGACTCCGCTCGCTTTGAGTGTGATGTAATGATGCGATTTGGGTTGGATGACCTGAAGTAGCTTGACCATTATAATGCCTTACTCATCATCATACCTTCTCGTTCATTTTTGGGGTTTTGTGTTTACAGTTTTGCATGAAAGAAGAACATATATAAGTTATTGTGAGTGTTGCTCAGATGGAGTAGTGTGAGTTTGATGTAGGTTTTTAATCTTCCCAACAGTTGAACTATAACTTTCCTCTTATACGTTGTACATCATCATAATATTTTTTGATTTTTTTGGGGCGTCTGGCTAACTTAAGCTTTTTTTTCTTTATAATTCATTTTACAGGAATGAGAACGCATGTTATTAATTGTACTTGTTATCTGGATTTTAAATGTTTTCCCTTTAGGATGTTTTAGCCATTGTTTGTTCTCATAGACTGACTGCATCCGAATCAGTGCCTTATGTAATGAATGCGAGGCTTTAGAGTTATGTTCAGGAGTATTTTCACACTCACACAGACCTCAGGGTCTCGGCACATTGTGTTGTGTGTGTGTGTGTGCGTGGTGTAGAAATCATTGCATTTTATTAAAGGTATGAATGCAGTGTGTGGTTTGACTTGAAGAACAGTTCCATACCAGCAAAAAAATAACACATTTTAAATGGATCAGCCTTTTCCTTATAACCTGCTATTCTCTCCCACTCCCTCCCATGAGCTAAACCAATGACACAAAGTGATTTGCTGCTTCCATGTTAATTATTCCCCTCCCTGTATTATGACAGTACACAATTGTCCTCCAGTCGCTCCTCGCCTGCCTCTTTCACAAGTGTTGCCTCCCCAGAGTCTGAGCTGAACGTCTCTGTCCTCTCTGTGTCATCGCCTCTACAGCGGCTTCTTTATTTAGAGGAATAGAGCGCTCAGTTCATTGTCTTTTATAGCAAGTGTATGTTTTATCAATAAAAATATTTTAAATGGGATGTTGTCTGGTTTTTCCCTTGATTTTCCCGTCATTAAAATCCACTTTAAGTAGGCAGGTAGAGAAATGAATCCTCTCAAACTAACTTTAAATCGCACATGTAAAGTTTGGTTTTTTTAGTTATATTTTATTGCATGTAGTGTATATATTTTTCATTATAGTCGTATAGTTTATATCTTATAATATTCTCATAGTTTTATATTTTCTATTATGCTTCATAATATTCTTATTTTGTGATTCTTTGTTGTCCCCTTTGCTGCTGTGTCTGATTTGAATTTCTCCTGGATCAATAAAGGAGCAGCTTATCTTACCTTATAAAAAAAATGTCCTAGAAAATATTAACATATAAACAAAGGTGAAAAGAAAATCTAAACTGTAGAAATAAATCAAATCGTCTAATGATTAAACATAATTCATAAGCAAAAAAAGGGTGAGCAAGATAAATAAAATGTGAAAAATAAATAATAAAATATATAAAAGCAACACATAGTAACATAAGTTTAAAAAAATAACTAAAATATTAATTGTATGGTTGTTAAATATGAGTTTAAGATTTATTTTCACTGATTTATTGAGGTAGGAACCAAAAGTCAAACAGAAACCGGAACCGGAAGTGCACCAAACACTCGCCCTGCCCGCCCCTTTTGTAGCATGTAAAGCTAACGGTTGTTTGTTGTTGTTGTTTTGACACTTATTGTTTACAAAAGCGACCACGGACATCAAAACAACATGGACTCAAAGGGACCTTCGCTGTACACAGTACGTACCTGTGTCGTTCAACGGTAACGGGTTGCCATGTCAACGGCTCGGCGGTCGTCTGTGGCAGTTAGCCTGCGTATGATATGATAACAGAGAGAGAACAGTAATAATGTTAGTATATATAAGTATTAATATCTGTGGTGCAACGACAGATATCTGTTAATAAACGATCAGATTAGTGAGATTAGTAGCATTAAATAAAAGCTACATCTGCGGGGAGTTATCTGGTGGTTTGTCGGCTGTTTCCTGTGGATTTATAGTTTCTCTTTCTCTCACAAGTATTAGATATCTCAGCATATTCATTATGTCATCAGTAAATTAATGATTATTTTATGTTGTTATATTAGTTATTATTATTTGATGATTCGTTTGACATCACTGTTAGTCACAAATGTGTTCCTCCTGGAGGGAAAACACTAGAAAATGCAGTCAAAAAGAAAATAAATATTAATAATAATGTTAATAATACATACAGTGCATTACCATAGACCAGTATGCATCTGTAAGATGTAGAAATGGTGCTCCAGGTGACATAGTAGATGCAGGATATTTGAAATGTATATTTACGTATATAAAAATAAAGTATAAATAGTTTATCTTTAAGAGATTTACATGTCAATTTTATGTTTTTGCAATCAGTTAATCTGTATTTAAGTAGGGCTGCAGTATGGTTATGGCATCATATTGCCATTATTTTACTATTGCGATATGATTAATGATCATTTGTGCCTCACAAATTAGATTTTCACTGAGAAAACGGTTAAAATCATGATGATTATGTGAAATTTGTTGGTATTTGTACCAAACAAACTTACATTTTGGAGAGCAAGATGTGTACACAAGAGTAGTAGTTCACTATAATGCTGCTTTTACCTTCATCAATACCTGTATTTTGCATATTGCACCTGGTCACCTTGCGATTTAGATAATATTGATGTTAATTGTGCAGCCCCTTCAAAGACAGGCCTACTGTTTAACTTAATAACCAATATCGATCACAGGCGTGTTGGTATTGTTGCAGTATCATCATATGTCATCATATTACAGTGCTGATGTTTAGCTATTTATTAGATTTGTATTATTTATTTTCTTACTGTTTGACAATGTATCTTAAATGTTAAATTATTCACCTTGTTATCGGCCACCATATCGGTAATCTGTGAGTTTTTCCCTTCCAGTTGGTCTGTATTGATTGATTGTTCATTTCTCCAGGCCGGCCCCTCAGTAGATATGTCACGGAGCCTCGATGAAGACTCTTTGGTGGACGGACCTCTGATCTCTGCTGACGCCCTTCACTCTGCCATCAGGAGAGAGTTTCAGACTGTACCAACACCCTGCCACGCTGGCCTGCTGTCTCTGCTGCATGTATGATATACACACATTTACAAACACACACACATCATTGTTTTATATATATATGTAAATATCTAGAAATTTGTGAAAGGGAAATTCGGTTTCTCACACAGTTAACACAGAAAAAGCTCTTGTGGGTTATTTTGCTAGGGAAACTAAATTACTATGATTTGTCTGCAAAAAAACCAAACATATAATGTTTAAACCAAATTTAAAATCATATTTTACACTGACTGAGTGATATACATATTTATGAAATGCAGAGAATATTACAAATGTATTTATTTCCATTGTGGTCGTACTTTAGAGCTGTGATGATTAGTTAGTTAATTCATTAATTAGTTGAAAATTTATAGACAACTATTTCCTCCAGTGGGAGCATTTGCTACGTTTCTCTGTCTTATGTCATTAATGACTAAGGATCTTTGGATTTTGGACGTTTGATTGAGTAAAACAAGCTAAAAACTTTGGACTCTAGAAACTGTGAAGGGCTTTTTCTTTGATTTTCTGATATTTTGTACAAAAAACACCTAATCCATTAATCAAGAAACTAATTGGTAGCTGCAGAAACTTTAATTTCATGACAGTACTTTTCAAGTAATCTGGCTACTACGTCATATCTGCCCTCTTCACCTGGTTACTCACAGTGATGTTTTAATTTTAATTTTATTACGTGTGATAATAATAATAATAATATGTCTCACTCCCAGTCCTCTCTCCTGTGTTTCAGGTTGTGTACGTTGTGTTGTCAGTGTGTGTGGCGGTAATGTGTGTGTTGAAATTTGGCCAAGAGCAGGTGTGTATGAGTATTTTGGGTGACGTGCGAGGTGACAGTGTAATTCTGTTTGGGAAGGTGTGTTTATGGGTTTTGGTGCTGCTGTTCACTGGGTGTGCTCAGCACCACCACAACCGGGCCAGGAGCAGAGGATACCTACGCTTCTACCGACAGATGCAGGGACTGAAGCACCTCCCGCTCACCGTACACTCTGCAGGTATAACTGCACACGTTGTCGGGCCACGATGAATCCGTTTACAGCACATGTAGAGGTCAGTGTTCTCCACAAGATGGCAGTAACATTAAAGGTTGAATGTGTATTTCTGTATGTTTGTGTGCAGGTAATGTTCTGCTGCTGGTTGTCCTGGCTGCCCAGTTATCACTGACTGTGCACACCTACATGCTGCTCAGCATCCTGGGGTTGGAGCTCTTGGTGGCGTTGCCGTGTCTGCTCTATTACACAGGTGAAGTGATCTTGAGGAGGGAATTTAACTCTGGGATTGATATATTATATATTGATATATTTATATATTTGACTAATGTTTGTTGCATAGTATATAACAGACTTTCACTGCACACACATAGGCCTGTTTCCTCCCAAAAAAAGAGAAAAACAGTCCATCTAACCTTAACTCCTTGTTTTCAACCCACACCCACATGACCATTAATACAACATATTAACATACTATCAATTTCCCCTTATGTCCCACGCTCTAAGAGTCCCTTGCAATAACATTTAACTGAAATACAGGGAAACAGGGAACTGAAAAAAAAACTAGAAGAACAACAGGAACCAGTGTGGTCAGTTTCTTTACTTTCAGTTCAGTTAAATTACTTTTAATTGTCATCATACTGTTTAACACAAGCTCTGTGAGCAGTAAGAGTGAAACAGTCCATGATGTCAGTCAAAAAAAACAACTCAAAGAAAGAACAATAGAATAATATTGAACAATAACTCGGCAGCAATGTAGAAAATAATTAATGTAGAAACAGCAGCAGTATAAATCTTTATTACTTTCTCACTTAGTAATAAAGACATTGCTTCTTGTTCCCACATTTTAATGGAGGGATATTTGTCTAATTCCTATGTGTTAATTTTACTTGCTTATACCTGGCAACTCACCTGCACCAGTGAAGTCTGAGTGCACCATTTCATGCCTTTCAGGAGGTACGAAAAAAAAGCTCAAATATAATCACCCTTGATTTTCCTCTTTAGGAATTTCATCACATTCGCAGGCTTCTCTAGTTTCCGGACACGTCGCTGAATTCTGAAAGTATTTCCTCCAATTGGTTCACATTTAATAGTTTGTGAGCAATGCAGCATCGTTTAATTTATGCTACACTAGTGGTAATAATATCAGTGGTGGTATATGGTGAGACACACCCTGTAGATTACATTATATATACACACACACACTTCCCCCACTCTCTATCTGAACACATTCGCATCACAATACCTGCCCTGCCCTTTTCAGACTCGACAGCATGACAATCAACCATTCAGCTCTCTGTCCTCCCTCTCTCTCTTCTCTCTCTAATCATCTCTCTCTCTCTGCAGATTTTCTGCTTCTGATACAAACACCATGCAGACTTTGTTGGGAGATACCCGTACTTATCTTTACATATCTATCTATTGTCTTTATTTTTCCTGCTGAGGTCGGGAACTAATTGGTTAAATTTAAAATGATCTCCCTCTGGCTCACTGTCTCTGTTAGCTTTGTTAAAATGCCCTTAAGTTGCAAAAACTGACCAGGGGAATTCAATCACTTTGCAACACAACAGAACACACTGCCCATACTGTAACCTTTTATTTAATTGGCTGTGAAAAGTCACAGCGTTCGAGAGAATAGAGAAACCAAGAGACAAGAGCATGTAGGATAAGCAGTGAAATACATTTGCATAGTTTATTTGGATGTTCTTCTCAAATATGAAGTAGCCACAGATGAATCATATTTATTCAAAAGGTTTTTTCTATTTAAAGTTTGGATTAAATAAAAAAAACGACTGCCAAATGTTTAATTAATGCATACGAATGAAAAATGTATGACTAACTGATTTAACGAGTCAGAACTCACCTTGTGAAAGAAATCCTATTTCTCATGCTTAGAAAATGTAGAAACACCACAAAGTATAATGAAATGCTGACTGGTGGCGACATTTATAATTAGCCCCGACATGCTCTCTGCACATGCTTCAAATAAAACAGGTGACCTCTCACATGCAGGTTGTGGTTGTCCGTGGTATCACCCATTAGGATCAGGACTGTGTGGGTTCTGCATTTGGCCTGTAATAACTGAAACATCTCAACAACTAATGGATGGATTTCCACATAATGTGGCACAGAGCATTCATCGGTCCGCAGAGGATGAAATCCCTGTAACTCCGGAGGTCCTCTGACTTTTCTTTCTAGCACCACTGTGAGGTTGAAAAATTTCTAAGAGTTTTTCAAAATACGGCCCTATGTTCCCAAATTTCCGTTTTCATAAATTTGTATCAGATTTTATCCCCCTTTCTCTCCAATTTGGTAGCCAATTA